TATTTACCCAGTAAAGGCAAAGAAGTAAAGTGAGTCCATTCATTCCTTAGCAATTTATTGAGCGTCTCATGTGGCCAAGCGCTGGGAAACACAAAGGTAAATAAAACCCTGGAGAGCACTAGAAACCGCATTTATGATTTCATTTATATATTATGTATTTTAAATAATAGCATTTGGGGTTTTCCAGAAATGAGCATTTTGCAGTAAGGTCAATTCTAAGAAGAGAGTATCACCGTGATGTCATGGGCAAAGCTACCTTCAGTTTTAATTAGACCATGAATTTTCTTTCTTTCTTTTTTTTGTACTTGAGACAGTCTTGCTCTGTTGCTGAGGCTGGAGAGCAGGGTGTTATCACAGCTCACTGCAGCCTTAAACTCTTGGGCTCAAGGGATCCTCCCACCTCAGCCTCCTAAGTAGCTGGGATCACAGGTGTGTGCTACCACACCCGGCTAATTTTCTCTTTCCCTCCCTCCCTCCCTCCCTCCTTCCCTTCCTTCCTTCTTTTCTTTCTTTCTTTTTCTTTTTCTTTTTTTTTTTGGCAGGGTCCACTTTGCTGTCCAGGTGGTTCTCAAACTCCTGGGCTCAAGTGATCCTTCCACTTCAGCCTCCCAAAGTGATGCGATTAAAGGGATGAGCCACCAAGCCTGGCCTGAGTTTCTTACTATGCACTTGAACTTGACTTTACATCCGTGATGTTCACATGTCTTACTTTACTGTGAATGTAAAAGAAGTGGATGCCTATTCAATTAAGCAAGCCTTTCCTGATTACCAGGCCATGCTCTAGACGGGGGGATATAGAAATGAAAGATTAAGTGATTCTGCCTGATTTGCTCATGATCTATCTAGAAATGTAAATACCCAGACTCCGGGATAGAGAAGCATAAAGAAGGGCCAGGCTTCAAAGTGGAGACAACATTGGATCTGAGCTTTGGAGGATGAGGAGCAGTTTGCAAAATGGATGAGGAGTGGGGAAGGCAATCTAGGCCAGAGAAATAGCATTTGCAAAGGCCTGGAGGCAGGCACTTGGGGGAATGGAGAATTTGCCTAGAGGACAGCGTTTAAGGAGAAACAGGGATGACTTCACCTAGGTGGGCTGATTCTTCACACTGCAAATGGATTGTCCCATTTGCAGGAAGATGCAGAGCCTCATGTCTCTCCCGCGTCTGTGTCAGTGTGCCGACTGATCCCGTGAATTGAGAAGTGGACCTGAGAAACTTAAAACCATCAGAAATGAGAGTGTGTGTGGGGAGTTACTATTGTAGGACTCAGGTTTCTTTACAGGGTGATGAAAATGTTCTGAAATTAGTGGTGATGATTGTACAACCTCGTGAATATACTAAAACCAGTTAAGCGTATACTTTAAACTGGTGATATCTGTGGCATGTGAATTACATCTCAATCTAAAAACAAGACATTTGGATGAAGCATCTCTGGATCGACATGGCCAGGCTGCAGAAGAGCAGAGTAGAACTTCCGCTGATCACCTGCCACTGAACTTCCATAGGCTGATGGCACTGGGTGGCCACCCCCGCAGCAGGACCTCATCCATTCGGGCCATCTGGCTGGTTGTGGGAGGCCTGACTAGAGCCTGCTACCCATCCCAGTTCTGCAGGGAAGCCTGTGGCTCGGGACTCATCATTTGACTTCTCTGAGCTGCAAAGAGGCTCACCAGGTCTCTAGGGGAAGAGTCACCTTAGTCACTCTGAATACTTGTCACATAACCAGGAAAAGTGTCTATCACCTCACCCTGGCTCCAGCAGTGGCTGCTAAGAATAGAGACCACAGGAGTATAGAATTAGAGGTCAAAGCAGTAGGAATACCTAAAACAAGCACTTAAACAAAATAAGAATAGCTCATTTGATTCTCACAACACTGCTATGATGGAGGTATCATTATCTCTGTTTTATAGATGGGGAAACTGAAGCATAGAAAGGTTAAGCAGCTTGCCTGAAGTCACACTGTTAAGAGAGAGACAGGATTCAAAATTGGGCCACGGCTTAGCCACTGTGTCACATTGCCTCTTGCTGTGACAGTCTGGACTTCAACCAGTGGGACAAGGGAAGTTGCTAAAAGGCCTGGACCTGGAAGTACCAGGGTCATTAGAGAGCAGCGCCTGGCTGCCCTGAGGAGAGGGAGCCGGGTAGGAGTTACAATCGTACAGGCAGTGATGGTCTGTGCCTGAGATCAGTAACTCTGGAAGTATTCCTAAAAGAGTCATTTAGGGCTGGGCGCGGTGCCTCACGCCTGTAATCCCAGCACTTCGGGAGGCGGAGGTGGGTGGATCACGAGGTCAGAAGATCGGGACCATCCTGGCCAATATGGTGAAACCCCGTCTCTACTAAAAATACAAAAATTAACTGGGTGTGGTGGCACGTGCCTGTAATCCCAGCTACTCAGGAAGCTGAGGTAGAAGAATCGCTTGAACCAGGGAGTCAGGGGTTGCAGTGAGCTGAGATCGCACCACTGTACTCCAGCCTGGCTACAGAGCAAAACTCTGTCTCAAAAAAAAAAACAAAACAAAACAAAAAAAGAATCCTTTAGAAAAACTTAGTCTGTGTCAACAATCTTCTGTGGCACTTGGATTTTAAATTGTTGGTGCTGGGATAAAACCGGTCGCGGGGGAGATCACATCCCATTGATTTTCCTTTTTGTATGTTGTGAAAATACCTGACATCTGTTTGATCTGCAACCACCATCACAGCCTCAGTCATCCCCATTTTGGTGGCTGTGGCTTCTTCAACCTAATTTCTGCCATCCTTTGTGAATGACTTAGGTTCTCCAAATCACCACACCCTTGCAAGCTTAATGCCTGCAGTGAGCTGAATGAAGACCCTTAAAATATATGTCCACGTGCTAATCCCCGGAACCTGTGATTTACCTTACATAGTAAAAGAGTGAACATTGTCTTACACAGCAAAGACAGGATTAAGTTAAGGATTTTAAGAGGTAGACCTTATCCTGGATTATCCAAGCAGGCCCTAAATCCTATGATGAGCATCCTTCTAAGAGACACAGAGAAGAGGAGGAGGCAATGTGACTGGAGTAGCATAAAGGCAGAGTTTGGAGTGATGCAGCCACAAGTCAAAGAATGCCTGGAGCCACTGGAAGCTGGAAGGGGAAAGAACAGGTTCTCCTCTGTGGCTTGTAGAGGGAGTGAGGCGCTGCTGGGACCTAGACTTTAGACTGCTGGCCTCCAGGACCAGGAAAGAACATGTTTCTGTTATTTGTTCCAACAGCGGCAGGAAGCTTATATACTGTCTTAACACATTCTGTTCCCCTACCTGGAATGCCTTCTCCTCTGCAGGCACCTCTTTCAGGCCCACCTGTAGGATGCTTTACCCACAGTCTCTGGATGTCCTCCCTCCTGGCAAGAGGCAGAGGCCACTCCCTCCCACAGGGCCACTGCTCCCAGCAAACACTTGCCCTTGTCCATAGCTCCCTGCGGGTGGCTGTGTGTCTCATGCATTTTGCATTGTCCACGCCCTTCACAGGGCCCAGACATAATCAGCAGAGGAAGAAAACCACAGGATGAAACAGTCCCAACAACCAGCACCAGTCAAGATCCAAGACAGCACGAAAAGCCAGCTGGCAGAAACATGATTGTCCACTGTCCGTCTCTGGGACAACCTAGGTCCTTCTTGCCTCTTTGTCCTCCTCAGTTGACAGAGTCGTTGAGGAAGGGGGAGGGCCTCCACTTTGTTCCTCCCGGTGTGGAATTCTGACCGTGTGTGTGTGTGTGTGTGTGTGTGTGTGGTTCTGTTAAATGCTTGAGACTGAGACGGGGAAAAAGCCATTCCCTTGCTTAAGCCCAAAGGGTTTCTCCTGACCAGTGAGTCATCCTCATGGCAGATGCCTAGGCAGATTTCTAAAGCTAAGTAAGAGAAATCTCTTCTTCACCTGCTGCAGGGAGGCATCAAAGTGCCAGAAAGGTGGCTTCCGTGGGTCCCTGAGGCCCATGGCAGGGGCCAGAGTCTGACACCTGCTTTCCCTGGGTTGGGGGCGGGGTGCCTCTGCCAAGAGCCCGGGTTCAGACCAGGCTGGCCTGTGGTCAAAGGCACACTTAGACCCTGACTGGAGAGTTGGGGCGAGTTACCAGAGACCCACTAGGTCACCTGTCAAAGTCGGCTAGCCCTCCTGGGGGTTTTGAAATCAGGGCATCCGCGGCAAGTTCCCAGGCTGTGCCTGGGGCTCAAGGCGGTGACTGCTCCTGTGCTCTTGGCTTAATCCCGGGATTCTCAGACGGCTGATGGAAAACGCCCCCGACCTTCCGTAGTGCCACAGGGAAGTCCCCGGAAACGGTGTGAAAAAGTATCAACTTTGGGGGATGCCTCCTCCGCGTCCAGCGCCTGACAGGGCCCAGCTCCTGGCCCAGTTGCCCAGGAGGCACCGATCCCCGCAGCCGGCCTCCTCCCCCGCGGGTTCCACTCCCATTTCGGCCTCGCCCCCACACCCCATAGTCTTTCATCCGCGAGTCGTGCAGGCAGGTCGGGTTGGAGGTCTGCAAACGAGACCCTCTCTGGGAAGCTGCGACAGCGGCTGCGCTCGGAGTTTGCGGGCGCAGGTCAGACTAGAACCACCCGCCTTCTCTCTGAGTCCCGGAATCGTCCCAGCGGCCCCTCCTCTGTGCCCAGGATGCTCGGGCGGCGGCTGCGGTGGGACCTCCGCCTCCTCTTCCGACCTGACCGGAGGAAGCTTTCCGCCTCCCTCCGCGCGGCGCACTGAGCGCTCTTTGCCCAGAAAGACTTCCCTCCCGCTGCCTGGGGCAGCCTCGCCCTGGGCGCCCGCACCCCAGCCCTGGGAGAGCGCTACTCCGCCTCTCGCACCACCGAAAACCTCCTCCTCCTCCTCTTGGGTACGCGCCCCCTTTATACGCGGACGCGCCCTCTTTTGGCCGCGCCCTCTTTTGGTCGCCCCCTCCCCAACCCAGCGCTCAGGAGCGCCCTGCTCTGGTCTCTGCCACCACCCAGCGCCTCCTGGACTCATCCCCACAAACCCTTGAACCTCCTCAGGACCCCCAGGTGAGCGCGGCGCGCTGCGGGCGGGGACCCTCTCTGCACCTCCCCGCACCCCTGGGGGTCGCTG